TCTCTACTGGTTTTTCGTTTCTTTGTTTTAATTTTTATAGCCGGCTCCCAGCTGTCAGCCCAGAGCCCGACGCCGGGCTCGAACTCACAAACCGTGAGATCCTGACCGGAGCCGAAGTCGGACGCTTCACCGACCGAGCCACCCAGGCGCCCCTGTTGTCTTATCCTTTTAATGTGAGCGCCTTCCTGTGTTCCTAGTGTAATTACATCTTTCAATGCGATGGGTGGTTACAGGATCAGCGTAGTCTTTTTGAAGTGGTTTTGTAAATTCGACAAAAGGAAAGAAAGAACTCACTTCCTGGTATACACTAGGTGCTCCGTAAGTAGAGCTTCTATTCCCCACCCGCCCGTTCAGAACCAAGAGCTAGTTGAAACCCGACCACAGGCAAAATGCCCGACTTCGAGAACGGTCTCCACTCCAGAGGGGAACACCCTCCGGAGTTCCAAGAGAAACAAGGAGCCCAGCACAGGTGGCCTCTGTGGCTCCCGCCCGGCCCCCGAGCAGGAGGGCACCGCCCCTTGCCCTCACCTTGCTAAGCCCGTTCCACTTGTCCACGAGATGGATCCTGCTGAAGTCTTTGACCCCCGTGAACACGGTGAAGAGCCCGGAATTGGAGTTGTTCAGCTGCGGACGACAGAGAACGGCGTCTTTAAGCCTCGCGACAGGGGCAGAGGCCCCGGGGCCCGGCCCTCGAGCACACCCGTTTATTTAGAGGCCGTTCCCCGCTTCACCCAGAGGACAGGGGCCTCGATATCTTGTTCACCGCTGCATCCTGGTGCCTGGGGACCAAGAGGAGGGAGCATTTCCAGAAGAGGGCTTTCTAGAAGAGGCACTCGATTCCAGCGTCCCTCCTAGAAAGCGTCCCACCTTCCTTTCCTGACTCAAGGAGAGTCTGCTCTTCCTCCCCGGGGGGGGAATAGCAGAATGCCCCCCTCCCCCCAGACTTAAAATAAAGCAAGGTCATGGGACGTCTCCAATCAACGGAAACGCCACTTCCGGGTGGAAGTTTTAGGAGCTAGCACATGCACATGTCACCGTGCTTTCTGCCGCTGCTGCAGGGGTCATGGAAGCGTGTGTCAAGCTGCTGCCTCCCTCAGCCTGGGTCCCTGAAGTGGCCAAAAAGAGCAGACAGCCCCCTGGTCACCCACACTGGACACAGCATACAAGCCAGGAGTGAACTTACTGTTTCGAGCCTCTGAGGTTCTGGGGCTGCTTATTACACAGCATAACCTGGTCTATCCTAACGGATACAGGACCTAATGTTTGTTATTGAGCAGGTTCTGGACAGAAAGCCCCAGGCTCTGGCACTCTGAGGAGATTTCCTAGAAACAGATTTCTAATTCACAGCAAAGACACGCAAAGCACACAAAGAAATGAGTGACCGTGGGGTGAAATCTAGAAGCCTCCCCTTCCTCCTTCGTAACAAAACCCAAACCTTACTCAGGGCATCAGCACAGCAGCTGCGGCCTTTAGCCTTCTCGGCTGCATTTCCCCACTTCCCTTGCAGTTAGGCGCGGCCACTTGACTAAGCTCTGGCCAAGGGAAAGCAAGTGGAAATTGGTTTCCTCCCTCCCAAAGAAGGAGACAGCTGGGTCATGTTGCTTCGTCCTCCACTCCCTTGCCTGCCTCTCCATCCCCAACAGCTCCTTCCTTCCCATTCTGCTTCCCGGAAGGTGGGTGCGGCCGCAGGCGCTCCGGCAGCCACACGGGACCATGTGGTAATCTGGAGTACGAAAACCACACCGTAAGGATAGCAGAGCAGAGTAGTAGCAAAACACTCCGGATCCCTGAAGGATATGAAGACACCACACCAACACTGAACAGTCACTGCTGGGATGTTATTTCGGGGTTTCCGTTATACGCAAACATAGGTTACGCGGCTGCTACTCGCTTTGCAAGAATTCTCACTTGTTTACGAGTCTGTAAGACGCTTTGAAAGGAATCATGTCACTTAACCCCAAACTTGCCAGCTTACCCACCCACTCAGAACCTGCCAAAACGTAGTGAGTGTCTATCACGTGCCAGGGGCGGAATCCCAGCCTGCCTCCCCCGCGCCCCCCAACACAGAGCAGCAGCGCCCAAAGGGGAGGCCGAGGCTGGAGCCACTCGGAGGGCTCGCTGAAACCTGCGGTTGAGGGAGCCAAGGTCAGGCTGTCCGTCGGCCCAGGGCTCAGGAGCCCAATCCCTACCGGACTATCAGGGGTTGAGATCAAGAGGAAAGCAGGCAGCCCGGGGCAACGTCGGGGTCAACACTCGTGACCCGCCTGCCCGGCCGCCGGTCTCCGTTCGTCCACCGGCAGCCGCACCTGAGCACAGGCCTGGAGTTTCCAGTCTGATGAGCCAGCAAACTCTCTACTTGTCCTAAGCCACTTTGAGTTAGGTTTTCTGCCCTTGACAACCCAATGCCCCCAGGGCCCCGGCCATCCGGGCCGTGGCAACGAGGACACGACCCCAGGCCCCCGAACTGCTCGCCGAGCCGCACTTACCTCCGCAAAGAGCCCAAACTTGCCCTTGAAGGGAAACATGTTTGGCAGGTACTTGTTGACGAGGTGCACCAGAGGGTCCTCGTAGCCCCACATGATCTCGCCCACGGTGCGGTTCATGAAGGCACGCTCTCCGAGGGTGCTGAACGCCAAGGTCATGATCAGCTTCAGGCTCATGGGCTTGTTCTCCATCATCATCGCCGCGCCCTGCAGAGCCCGGGGACACGGCAGGCTAGATGCCATGTGTCCGTCCACCCTGGACGTCACGCCGGGCCCAGGCCAGCACACTACCTGTTCCCGTACGGTCTGAGAGCCAAGAACATTTTTGTATATTTTTCACGTTTACTCATTTTTGAGAGAAAGACCGCAGGGCAGGGGCAGAGAGAGAGAGA